CAGGAAGGCAATACTGTTGTTTTTATCAATGGGAGGTGGTAGAGGTCAGGACTAGAAGGCATGTCCTAGAAATGTCATCTTCTCAGTGAGGTCTTTCCTGCCACCTCCCTAAAAATTCAAATCCTCCCCTCCACATACATATATTTCGGCCTTTTCTTCCTGCTTTATATTTCTCCTACCAACTTCCACCATCTAACATACTATATTCTTTCCTATTTATCTTGTTTAATAACTGTCTCTGCTACTAGATGATAAGCTCCATGCAGGACCTTCTCTGCTGTAACTACCTGCTATGTCTGTCCCTGGAGCAGCTTCAGGCCATAGCAAATACTTGCAGAATGAATGCACATACCCAGAACTGCGTGTAAGGAGCATAGCTGGAGGTAGTGGGAAGTCTAGGAGCCTTAGCAGCAGCCTTAGAACCAGCCTGGCAAAGAGCAGCCTGTCAGCCATGCGCCAGCCAAACAAGCATGTCCAGACTTGTAAGAAGTCAGAAGATGTCAATGCTCTGTAACCTTGTCTGGTTTCCAACATTCAGGTTTTGCTTTCCTTTCATTCACCTTGGGAGAATGCCTCCTCAGACACGGCCAAAAATTATATTAGCTATCTTTGGGGAGCAGCACACCATGCAAGATCACTTCTAATTTCATCTTTACTGCTACCCAAATGTTGCTTTAAGCTTTACTGTGCCCCAATTTCTTTGACCTACTGAGCATTTTTCTTTCCACTGGTAGTTTGCCTTTTGATTTTGTCACTATATTTTCTACCTTTCTGTGACTCTGGTTTCTGTATACTATTTTGTGACCATACCAATGTCACAGAAAACATAGGAAAACACAAATAACTAAGTTACTTATTGTTTAAAAATAAAATTAGATAAGGAAATGGAAAGGAGAATATTTTTAGAAATGCCTTTTCACTCCTATAGGATTCAAATGATCAATAATAGTCTTAAAATAAATTATAGCCTTAAATTCTAAAATGCCTAATGAAAATATATAGCACCACATTACTTTTTACAGCGCCTTCCTTCTGGTGAACTCAAATACCCCTCCAGACACTTAAAAAATTATCTTCATAACATTTCTATAAATGAGCAGATATTTGCTGTTGCCATTTTATAACAAATGTACAAACAATCAGTGTGGGCTATACTCTAAACCAGATCCTATTAACCTATTACATAATTCTCTGAGTAACTGTTTTTAGCTGACTGATATTACTAGTAGGAAACACTATTAATAGGAAAAAGTGGGGCACTAGACACATACTCAAGATCCGTCAAAATTCCACCATTCACTATATGTTATGACAACTGAAAAGTCAGACTTCATTTTAAGTAGAAGGTGCAACATTGCCCACTCTTAAGCATGGCATTGTCAAGTATTACATTTGCTTTCAAAAGAAAAGTAAGAACAATATAACTATAGTGAAATAATTATCAGTGACATTTTAAGTATAATTTAAAAACTATATTTTATCTATTCTTAAAATATATAGTCACAGGTAACAACATTCATAAAATTAAACTATTATGATCAATAGATCTATTTTTGTGTAAAGGAAAACACAAGTTTTTGTGTTTTCACTCACTCCTATAGGATTAAATTTAGTGATTACTACATATTTAGTAATAATGGAAAAATACAGTATTAAATGAATATGTATTTTTATAGGAAATTTTATTGCTATGACCATGAAACTTCCAGTCAAAAGATAAGAAGCATATTACAACAACAAAAACTCTATAATGTTGAAAGCTGGAAAAAAAGACTTCGCTAAATTGAACATATAGTTTGAATACCCATTACTAACCAGTGTTCAGTACACATATTGAAATCTTCAAATAATACTAACATTTTAAATTATAGATAACAGAATTATTGATCAGAGAATTTCAGGTGATTCAAATGTACTTCAACAACCTTTGGTTATTTCCATTTGAATTTCCTGCCATCACCATAATTGCTATCACCTCAATTAAGTAGGTCATAAAACAATTTCATCATTTTTTCTCCTTAATTGAATTCCCTTTCCTTTTCCCCTATTCTAGCACTGGTATTTTCATTATTCCAGTAACATTTCACTGGAACTTACCATTGTCTCTTTCTTTTCTATTAGCCTCCACATCTATTTATCATCAAGGAGTGTCGAGTCCTATTTGTTAGGGCTCTCCCACCCTCGCTGCTCCCACTGCTGCCTCTCCAGTACATGCCATCAACCTCATACACCAGCTCTATCACCACAGCCTGCTGAGTCTACTGTTTTCTGGCTTCTCGCTTCCCTCAAATCTTTTTTAAAACCCCATTTTTGATTATGTTACATCCCTTGTTAACATTTTTGTAAGGATTCTTTAAGGGAAATCACTGATTTTGATTGAAAGCTGTTCAGTTTTTATAAGCTGGTGTGGAAAATACTGGGGTGCCGGCCCTAACTCTTTTATCATTTGATGCAACCTAATGTTGATACCAGCTTCACAAGAAAGAACCTACCCACTAGCAGAAGGCCAGGAAACAGTTCTTTAAAAAATGTGTTTTGTTTTGTTTTGAGGGAAAAAACAGTCATGACAACCTATTGTTGACTGCTATGTCCCCAGTACCTGGAACATAATAAATGCTCAATAAATATTTGAAATAGGCAGGGGAATGTATAGGGAATCTCCTCCTCATTTAAGCCAAATGTGTTGGAATAACATCCCACAGGGAATAGAAGGTTACAGAGAGTAAGTTCTGCCCTAAGAAAAATTGGGTCAGAGAAGAGCTGAATAGTGAGATGACTTAATGTAAGATCAAATGAGTGTGATAAGAAACTTAGTATCTTCTCTCTGATAAACTGTACAGCCAAGTCTAATGTGGCAGTAGGGGAACAAGTAGAGCAGTGGTTCTCAACCTTGGCTGCACATTAGAATCACCTGGGAATCTTTTTAAAATCCTGATTTCTGGGCCTCATCCTCCGGAAATTCTGTTTCTTTGTTACTAATGTTGTGGCCCCACCCAAGAGGTTCTGGGTTGGCAGGAGGTGCTCACTCTTACACCCCTGTCCTTGGTAGCTTGCTTGCCTGCTGCTGCCATTGTGGCCCCACCCCATAACAAAGAAACAGAATTTCCAGAGGCTGAGGCCCAGAAATCAGGATTTTAAAAAGATTCCCAGGTGATTCTAATGTGCAGCCAAGGTTGAAAACCACTGAAGTAGAGGAATGAATTGTCTTCAATGAGTTTTTTAGTGCCTTTTTAGAAAGAGTTGCTCTTAACCCTAAGGTATCAGAGCAAAGATGAGCTTTATAAGGCTTTAGTCTCAAAAAAGTTAAGGTTGCTTTTACTTAAGCTTGAGACCACGAGAGTTGAAGTTTAAATCTATTGCATTAATAATTATCTACTACTGTGGAACAAATCACCCCAAAATTTGGTAGCTTAAAACAAGACACATCACCCACAGTTTCTGTGGGTCAGGAATCTGAGCATGGCTTAGCTGGATAATTGGTACCGGGTCTCTCACAGGCCACAGTCAAGGTCTTGGCTGGGGTTGCAGGCATCACAAAGCTCAACTGGGACAGGATCCTCTTCCAAGGTCACTCATGTGGCTGTTGGCAGGCCTCAGGTTCTCACTGGCTCTTGACCAGAGACACCAATTCCTTGCCACATGGACCTCTCCACAGAGCGGCTCACAACATGACAGCTGGCTGCCATCAGAGAGAGCAAGTGCGGGGACAAAAAAGAGCCTTAGGCTTGCCAACATTCACTGGTCTTACCATGTTCCCCATGACCCTTACGCAGCAGGCTTGATAGAATGGTGAAAGGATTTTTTGAAGACTCAGTTATAGTGTCTTCTAGGATGAGACAATGTCCTCTAGGAAGTGATATTTGCTCTAAATCAGCATTTAATAGACTGTCCTATTTCTCCCAGATCTGGGAATGAAGGGGTGGAAATGGGACTGACCTCTCTTCTTATTACCCTTAGTGACCTACTAGCAAAACTGTTCCTTCCCATTCACATTATTTTAGGCTATAATGATAGTGAAATTTATTTATAACAGTTCTTTACCTAGTACTTAAAATGTTGTCCAAATTATTTCCTTCAAATGCATAAACATGTTTGCAACTCTTAATATGTAGTGATTCACTCCTCTGAATGCTGCTTAGAGTAGTTCATGTTCAAAACTTCTGCTTATTTTTTGGCGTCTATGGTCAAACCAAGCCTGTTTCTGTTCTGTAGCCATAACCAGATATCATCGCTCAATTTGTGTTTACTATCAACAATGGTTGAGAATGGTGAAAGCCAAAACCAGAAGCAATCTAGAGATTAGAGATAAAAGTACAAAGTCTGTAGGCTGGGAACCAGTGTCAGCCATCCATCCACTGTCTGGAGCCCACCTGAGGGGCTCACCCTCCACTTCCTTCCTTTCAGTAGCAGCCAGTTCTGCCTTCGTTTCCTGAGAACATCTTCATATCCATTCTAGCACTTATTCCTTACATTGCTCTGTTTCTTTTGACTAAAATGCCATCCTGTATATCTTCTGACAATCCAAATCCTAACACACAAAGTCCAGCCAAAATCTTTTGCATGAAAACCTTTCCTAAAGACTATATGCCACAGCCGTCTCTTTTTCCAAATTCAGAGACCTGACTGCCTATTGTATCACTGAGTTGGTACTCAATCAGAGACAAATATTCTGAGATCCTGCATGGCTACCCAGTCCTTGTCTTATAATCAACTTTTAATTTATGGACATCTTGTTTCCCTAAGCTTCAACAGCAACTGTCTTCAGTACTCTCAGATTGTTTCACCTATTCATCTTTACGGAGTTTGATGGTACACATTTTTAGCTACTTAACAAATTTCTGGTAGTGGATCAGACCCATGCCGTATATTATCAATAACTCGTTTGAAGATTCAAAGCAGAACAACATGCTTAATTTGCAAAACAGAATTCCACATTTCATAAGCATATTTTTTTCACCTTAAAAAACACACAAAACCCATACATCTCATCAAACACATACCTGCAGAGACTCGGGGGCAGTCAGGCAGCATGGACTCCACTGAAGTGTCTAATGGTTCTGAGCTAGAGACCCAATTACAGCAGTTCTGCAATGTAATAGAGACAATTTCCTGTTGAAGCATAATTTAAGCCAAGACCAACTTTTCAGGTTGTAGAGATTAATTTATCCACTAGAAGTATATTCAATTTATTTTTCATACACTATAAAAGGTTTTCTTATGCAAACAGTCAGTAATTATTGATGACCTACATGACTGTGGAAAGTTTATCTTCTACAGTTCAGCAAATCATGTGTGTTGATATTAAGAATACAGGTGACCTTCATTAAACCATCCTATATAATAAAAACCTATTATGCAAATTGTCTTCTCAACGGGAGTTTGACCACCAGAGGGCGGCATGGAACATAGTGGGTGTTGGTGACACACTGTGACCTCTCGCCGGCTACCTGGGGGAGGAGGTGACGGGGACAGAGGTGTGGTGAGAATGCGGGGTGTCCGCCGAGCTTGCTCTCACTCCCACTGCTACCCTCCCCCAGGACGCCAGGGCTCGCACACTGGGGAAGCCCCTGTGCTCAGGTGCCGGGCACCCGTGAGGAGCCCACGCCACACCTGCACAGTGTCATCTGGGTGAGCCAGGCTGCAGCCACCGGGACCACAGGGGCTGGTTGGGCTCCCTGTGGTTTCTCGAAGAGCCAGTCTGCGAGACCGGCTGGGAGATAGCGTGCTGCCTGTCTGGCTTCCATGCAGCGCCACTGGGTGGCCAAGAGGCCCATGCTGCGCTCCGGCCTGCAATGTCCGGTCGCACTCACAGCATCTCCGTGTGGAGACTTGGGCACTGTGACTCAGACAGAGGAGGATGCTCGGGGGCCCGGGGGACCAGGTGCTGCCCAGGGCCCAGAGATCAGCTGGGACCTGCCCTTCCACACCAGATGCTCGTACTTCGATTGCTGGGCAGGCCTAAGGACCGTACTCCTGCACGAATTTCATGCACCGGCCCTCTAGTGATGTAATATATTTCCAAGAGAAGGCTAGGATTATAATTAAAAGAAACTAAAAAGGGTGTCCATTATTAACTTTTAGATAGAAATTAATATTATTTTGAACATGTGAAAAAGTAGCTACATTTTAAAACTATATTCTTTGTCTTTGTAATACTAGAAGAAATAGATTTTATACTTACTCCTCAAAATCTGGCCCTTATAATGATACCATCTCTTAATTTTTACTTCAACCTGGATCAATGAATGATGTATTAAAGAGTTCAAAAGAAACACAATCTGGTGAATTGTAGCGGTGTGTCTGAGGACACAAAGCTTTCAATAGTAAAGATAATAATAACTTACAATTCAGACAAATGAAATAAAAATAATTTATATTCCTTCCATACATTTTAAATCTGATTTTAAGTCTGGCTCAAAAAATGTGATTAACCTCATATATGTCTCTTAAAAAATTTCCAAAACACACACACACACACACACACACACACACTGAATTTCCAAACAGATTTTATTTTAAAAGAAATCATCCCATCAATCATGTTGGAAAAATCGCTGATTGCCATTCTGGTAAACAACCACGTATTGTGTATTTTTAGATGCTTGCTGCCCTGGTTGTGCACCATGGAATCCGTCCTCACTGTGGAAAGATCCTTGACTGGTAGATCAAGTGTCTTATTGTGTTTCCTTAATTCATTCTGTCTGGAAGAAGATGTCAGCTGTGTTGCAGTGAGGAGAGAATTTCAAAGGCCCCAGTCCCCACCAATAAAGGCTGAGGAATGGCTTTTGAATAGATTTGTCAAGGCAACCCTACTGTTCTGGGACCAGGGAGAGCAGGAATAACATAAAGGAAGGGTTGCTGTATGAGATTAGAAAGTGAAGTTCACAAAGCATGGCAGATTTTTGTAAGAAACAGTAGATCAATGAAACTATTGAACTGTGTGGAAAAAAATCCATGAAAACAAACACAACATCTAGTAATGTTCTTAAATGCTTTCTCTCTTTTTTATATTTAAAATGGATAAAATATTAGTGTTTTCTTGTATTATAAAAGCTTGAGGGTTTAAAGTGGATATGTATTCTTAACTTGCACTCCTAATCTTAATTAGCAGCTGAATGCAAAATTATACAATATAAAAGAACAGAAATTATAAAAGAAATGGGGTTTTAGAAGATATTTCATACATTTGAAATAAGTCAAATTAATATTACTATTGATAGAATACCACATCAGAGAGTTCTGGATAATGCAGAAGATTAGCAGACAATTAGCCAGCTTTTATATACAATGTGACACTTGCTTGTAAGAAATAAGTATTCTCCAAAGCAGTGTCAAGATATGTAAATGGATGATTTGTTTTATCATTCATCACAGCCCCTAATAAATTCAAAAATCATGACTTCTATAGGTACTAAAAATAGGCTCCCAATGATACAGGGAGATAGCTTCAATGAAGAATGACTTTCTCTTTCTCTCTCTCTTTCTTAAACAATTCAGTCTTTTCAATGACAGCAATTAGCACTACCGAAAGACAGGCAGCGATTAGGCCTATATTTTAATTATTATTCATCCTAGTAGTACCTCCAAATCTGATGAAAGTCAGCTATTACCCAGGTGATATGTCACTCTTAATACTGCCCACACACACTTCACATATGTAAAACTATGTCTTATAGGATATTTCTAGTATTAAAAAAAGTGATGGTACATTACAATGTGCAGGCGATTAATCATTTTTTAACTCGTTACCACTGAATTTAAAAAGCTGAACAAAATGGATTTTATCCAGGTCACTTTTAACTTAAAACATTTAAAGCAAAATGTAAGTTAACATTTTATGATTCTGAAATTTGTTTTTATCTAGGCATATGTTTGGGCTTTAAATTTTTTTAAATTATGTTTTTATTGATTTTAGAGAGAAGGGAGAAGGAGAGAGAGACACATTGATGAGAGGGAGAAATATTGATTGGCTGCCTCCTGTACACCCCCGATTGGGAATCAAACCCGCAACCTGGACATGTGCCCTCTTGGTGCAAAGGACAATGCTCAACCAGTGAGCCACACCAGCCAGAGTACATGTTTGGGCTTTGCTCTCTCATAAAAATAGGGTAGAAAAATAAACATGTTATAGTTAAAAGTATGTACAAAAGTTCTCAGGAATGACAAAGTACCTGTATAGAATGGTAAAGGTTTGATACCATAAATTTTATCAGTGTATACATGTGCATGTGTGCACTTGTGAAATCTTTATCCTCCCCCAACCCGCCCTGGGAAAAATATATAGAAAACTGGGCAAAACAAGCTAAAAATAGGTTTTCCATGTCATAGAGTATAATGAAATAAAATAATGTAAGCACACTGGGAAATATATGTAAAGAAAGAAGTATAAGAAAGACATACAGCCATAATATATTAAGTCAAACTATCTGAAATTCTATCTTATCCTATCTAATAAAGAGGGAATATGCTAATTGACCCTCACACAAAGATGGTGGTGCCCACATAGAATAAGGAGGGAATATGCTCATTGACTACCCACCCTCAAAGGTGGCAGCACCCACAGCCAATAAGGAGGGAATATGCTAATTGGCTGCCATGCCCTCAAAGATGGCGGCACCCACAGCCACAAGATGGCGGCGCCCAGTCCCCTGAGCCCCGCCGGGGTGGTAAGCGCATGGCAAGGCCAGAGTCCCCCAGTTCCCTCAGCTCCCCAGCCGCCTGAGGTGCAGTTAAGCCTCGGATGGCGCCTGCCCAGCCACCCAGGGCTGCCTGAGGCTCAGATAACCAGGGCCAGCTGAGGCTTGCACTGCTGGCAGTGGCAGCAGCAGAGGTGTGATGGGGGCGTCGCCTTTCCCTGATCACCTGGTCGCCTCCTGCCCCTGAGGGCTCCTGGACTGTGAGAGGGGGCAGACCAGGCTGAGGGACACCCCCTCCAGTGCATGAATTTTCATGCACCGGGCTTCTAGTCAAATATAATTCCCTATTCTGAGATGTGTTTCTATAGTTTAGAAATCAAATCTCTATCACTGTTCTAATGCTTATTCTATCCGTCTTCTCAATGCCCCAGTTTGCCCCCGACTCACCCCAGTTCTTCAGTTGAGATGAATGCTAGCAAAGTGCTGGCAACAGAGGCAGCTCAGTGGGAAAGCACTATTTAGCCCTGGTGAGGTGATTCAGTTGGTTGGAGTGTCGTCCTGTACGCCAAAAGATTGCGGGTTCGATTCCCAATCAGGGCACACACCTTGGTGGGGGGTCCAATCCCTGGTCAGGGCATGTATGGGAGGCAACTGATTGATGTTTCTCTCTCATATTGATGTTTCTCTTTCTCACTTTCTCCACCTATCCTCTCTCTCTCAACATATTTGGGTGAGGATTAAAAAAAGAGAAATGGATGCCCTACCTAAACTCAAAACATGCTGGAGTGAATGCCCAGTCCCTGGAGATCTATTCTCAGGTGCCTAAGCAGACAACACAGGGTATACTGGACTAGAGGTACCAACAGAACCATGCCTGAGCCTCATCCCAACCAACAAGCATGAAGAAAGAAGCCCTGGACCAGAGCCAGCATATGAGGATGGATCATGTAACTAGAGTTTCTCTGGGTCTGAGGGAAAAAGAGAAAAATAGTCACTATAAGTGAGTGTTTCTTAAAGTTAAGTGTTTTCAATTTAAAGGTCTTTTACTCTGAAATGATGACCTTATGGGATTTGGGGGTTGTAAATTGTCTTCTTTGTGAAATCCAAAAGCTTGGGAACTATTACTAATGATTAGAAGTGCCTTTGGCCACAGTACTGAGTGACTCTCTTTGACATTTGAACCAAGGGTTTGCAATATTTTAGTGTAGATATGAAATGAATTAAATTTTTTTTAATAAAAGTATATTATGTTTAAAGAGAAAACAGATAGTAGGTATTCCTATGCAAGGTATTTGGAAGTATTTGGAGTTTAGGATTTGATTCACTTTTATTTCATTTGTCTGAGTAGTAAATCATCCATGCCTTAGGCACCGATCTTTAATGTGGCAGGTATTGTCTCCTCATACAACAAGAACAATTCACCAGTCTGAGTGTCCAGCACCGACACACAGAGCTGCATGGCGATAGGTAAGGGTTCCTGACCGCTATGGAGAACCATACATCTGGGTTGGCTGGAGACTTTCAGAAGCTAGGGGTAAGGCAGGAAATGACATTTGCCCACTCAGCCTTATCTATTTTTATTTTTTAAAATAAAAATTATACATTTAAGGTATATAACATGATGTGATATACATGTATATAGTAAAATGTTTTCTTATTATAGTCAAGCTAAATAACAAATCTCACATAGATTCGTGTGTATGTGTGTGTGTTTGTGTGTTGAGAAAAACTGAAGTCTATTCTCTTAGCAAATTTCTAGTGTTCAATCCAATATTGTTAAGTACAGTCATCATGCTGACCATCAGGTCTCTAAACTTAGGTAACCTGCATAACTGCAACTTTGTACTCTTTGCCAACATCTCCCCATTTCCTTCACCTCCCTGCCACTGGTAGTCACCGTCTACTCTCTTCTGTGTGTTTACTTTTTTAGATTCCACATATATGTCAGATTATGGAGAATTTTCCTTCCTACGTCTGGCTATTGCACTTGGCATAACCGTCTCCAGGATCATCCTTGCCCATGCAGCCTTTACATCCTGGAGCCTGAGGTGAGAAGTGTCTCTCAGGAACTGCCTTTGGCCACCTTTGACCTCTCCTCATGAGGCTGGTTAGTATGTGCACTGGTTAGTGTATGCTAATGAACAGGACTGAAAAATCAGCTTTTTATAGAAAACAAGTACTTAACATCAATAACTTTAAAATATTAATTTAAACTGGCTTACAAAACAAAAGACAGTTTTACTAATTTGCAATCTAACAGGAATGAGTGGGCAACTTGTACCACTGTCCTACTTTCACATTTTAAAGCGGTGTTGGGTGAAATAATGGAGCCAGTCATGAGGCTGAAAGCACTGTGGCTTCATCTATAACGCGACTGCTATTTTTAGAGAAGACATTCCAGTTTGGCTAAGGTGTTTTTCTTGGGAGGGATATTTGCAAAATATCTCAGTTTCTGAGATGATTCTAAATGAGGCTAGAGCAGGAGGCGAGGAGGAGGTGGACGCCAAGGGACACAAAGGCTCCCCTACCACACCTTCTCCCAATCCCCGTGCTCAAGACAACCATCCTTTCTGTCTACTGACCCCAGGCTTGTTTGTCTTCATTATTTCAAGGAGTCTCGCAGAATAGACAAGGACTAGTAAAGGTGAAAGAAGAGAGGATGGAGTTTCATCCTAAGTGTTGGAAAACACTGGACTCTTATCTTGCCAAACCACATAAATTATCTACAAGGCGGGGGTCACACATTTAGTGAGTTCTTACAAGGACACCTGGCATAGTCTTCTATAGTTTCTGATTTTGTTCTTGCTTTAGGGATGAACTCTGAGCAGGGATAATTTCAAAGCTCCATCAACTCTGATCTAATAATTTTTATCTTTGGGATATTATAGTGTTTTCTATAATAATACATTTCATTTATTTAAATAGTACTATTTGCTTTTCAAGGAGTTTTTTTCTTGCTCATCATCTTTGATTCTCAAAATAGTTCAGGAAGTAGATGAAATAGAAATTACCTCTAATTCACAATTACGAACTAGGCCCAGAAGAACAAAAAAGTGGCTTTCCCAAGACTATAAGTCTAAGCAAAGTATCTGGTACATGCTTGATCTCTAATTATTTATTTACCTAATGAGTAACTAAGCCAGAAACATAATCAAAATTCAGTTCTCCTAACTCCCTACCCATCCCTTTTGTAAGATATTTTGAATATAAAAATCATTCATAAAACAAAAAGAAAATACAGTTCATGTATTTCACATTATTTGGGGATGTGAAGGTTACTATAACAACAATAGCTGTGATTTATTAATCTTCTTTACAGTGCCAACAATGTTTACAAGGTAGGTTTTATATTTTAGAGAGAATATCCAAGATATTAAGCAACTTGCCCAAGACTACAGTTAGGTAGGTTTGAATTGAGCTGGGGTTTGAATTTTGGTATGTCATAATGCAAAACTCTTCAAGCTGCTTCATGCCTAAGGCATAATCAAGGGAGTTGAAGGAACTATTCAAGAGATAGGTCATTTGTAAAATTTTATAACATTACAATGTTTTTAACAAAGGCTATTAGCAAAGAAATAATTGGCAGTTTTGATTACATTAAGATGCTTTAAATTACTGCCTATTTCAGTCAGATGAAATCCAAAGAATATATTCTGATTTTGGAAGGGGACACCTTATCTAGTTTTAGTTAGAAATACCTAAAAAAGTAAACCTAAATAAATAGTGTTATATTTGTCATCTAGAATGAGACACAAAGAATGCCCAGTTGAAAAAATAATGAACAGGATATTTCTAGTTTGGGACAGGTCCTAAATTCCACATGGGCTGGAAGCTGTTCATGTATCCATTTGGACAGATAAATAGCACAAAAAAAAGTATCAGCATGAAATACATAAAATGTCTCTAGAAAAAGTTTAAGCCCTTGGAAGAGACAATTAAGGATTCAGATACATGTAAAAGAAGAAATATGAAAACTAATGTGGTCAGAAAACACCTGGGAGTTAGAATAGATGAAAATAAATCCACCTTTATATGTTTATAGCATTATGAGGAATGGAGTAAAACTATTTTGGATTTTTTATGATAAAGGTACTTTTTCTATTGGGGAATGACAACAACAGTGTAAACAGATAGGCGGTATAAGGATAACACCACTATGGGATTATATAGCCTAGTCCTAGTTTTTGAAACTCTTCCAATGTCAACTCAGTCCTTAACATGCACCATGAGGGCTGGTAGATGTTACCCACCACAGCTATGGTGAGAGGTCAGCTGAATAAATGTCTGGGTGTTCCATCAACAAAAACTGAGAAAAAATCTAGGTCAACCAGCTTATTCATATAAGCATGTGATCTGACTAAACAACTGCTATAGCATGATGTGGCTGATGTCAATTGCTTATAATATCAGAAAGGTAAATATAAATAAAAACTTCAGCTGTTTATCTATAACTAGAGGTCTGGTACATGAAATTCGTGCACCGGTGGGGTCCCTAGGCCTGGCTGGCGATCAGGGACGATCGGGTTTCCCACCTTACCACCTCCTCCTTCCCTCCCTGCCCGCATGCTGCCACTGTACGGTTCCCTGCCTCCCCGCTTTCACCCTCCTCCTTTCCTCACTGCCCGAGTTTGCCGCTACCCACCCCTAGTTCCCCGTCCCAGCCTGGGACCTGGCCCCAATCAGGCAATTGGGGCCTGCCAGCTTGCGGGGGGTTGGGGGGGGACCCACCACCACAGAGGGCAGGCAGTGGGCCAATCAGGGCCTGCTAGCTGCAGGGAGAATCCTGGGAAGTTGGCTGCTGGTCCCAAGGAGGGAGCTGGCCCTCGGCCCCCAGGGGAACGGGGCCATGTTCGCCGCCACCCCCTCCTCTCCAATTTCCCATCCCAGCCAGGGGGCTCGGCCCCGATCGGGCCATCGGGGCCTGCAGGCCAGGGATAGGGACTAGGAGGTTGGCTGGCAGGCTCCATCGGCAATCAGGGCCTGCAGGCTGGGGGCAGCTCCTGCATTGAGTGTCTGCCCCCTGGTGGTCAGTGCACATCATAGCAACCGGTTGTTCCAGTTGCTCCATCGTAATGGATGCTTAGGCTTTTATATATATAGATAGAAATAAAGGAAATAATGGGCTGAAAGTTTTGTTTTGTTTTAAGTGGGAGCATAGTCAATGAGTCCCTGTTAGTTTTCAAGTTCACTAGCTCTTAAAAAAAATGACAAGAAGCTTTCTTAACTGGAGGCTGGATCCTGACCAGCTCTAGGGTTTCTTCTAGATTAAGAGTCTGGCAAAACACTATTTCTGCTTTTTATTTCTTCTCCCCCTACTGGCAGTGGTGAGCCAATCCACTTAAGAATTCAGGGAAGGAGGAGACCAGAGTACAGCCAAGTTTCTTTCTTGTAATTAAGTGCACCAGTGGGAAAATTAAATATCAGGAGCTAATAACCTCTTAACAGATCATGACCATTTTCAGCCAAAGCTCCTACAGTATATTGTGTGCATATGTAATATTCTATAGCAAACCAAAAAAAGGGAAGAGGGCTTTCAAAGTATTTGTTCTTCAGAAGGGTTTTCTCTTATTTCAAATATGTCTAGTTTTTTTTCTATTCCCTCTCAATGTTCTGCCTCTAGAAAGGGCATTTGAGGGTGGAAGGTGATACATGTTGGTGGGGGATCAGGATATAAAGGCTCACGCTCATTCATCTCAGCATTGGAAAAACCCAGTCTCACCTCTCTCATCCACTCTCGAATGGTTTTGCCAGCTTCTTGATGCCACACATTGTGAACAGAGTCTGTCAGTGCCACAGCAGTTACCTTGCTTTTCACATCTGCTTCTCGTTGAATCATCTGTTTCAAAAACAGAAAATAAAATATTGGCTATAATTTTTTTCTACTGGGTGCAGCCTGCTTAGTCATAGATAATAATATTGTATTAAAAATACAAAAGCAATATGCATCTCTTGTTCCAAGTTACTCTTTCTGCATGGAATACATGCCTTATTCTTGTCCGGAGATATGAAAAGACCTAATATTTTATTTTAAAAAGATAATTTCACTTAAGTCTTAGAACTATGCAGCTCTGTTATTTTCCATGTGGTTTGACAATTCAAGGATTAAAGGGATCATAGGGGGGAAAAAAGAGGATGCCCTTGGGGTTTCTTTTACCAGTTTCTTCTACCACTTCCTATTTCAGTGTTTTAGGGACGTTAGTACCTGTAGCTCACTGTTAGCTACAGGACTAATTCATATTAATTTTCAGTTGATGGCACATCAGCAAAGAGATATCTTGCTTTATCGCCTGCTCTTCACCATGGCTTTATAATTCCTTGGTGTTTTAAATGTCCACAAAGATCTTCCTCTTCAAAGCCTAGCAATATAAATCTGCTTTCTAATATACTTATTTATGTTGAGAAACTATTCACTTTAACTTCTTTCTGCAGAACGTTATTACTAGAAAATTAAATGGTTATAAAATTTGAAAAAGAGCCACTTGAAGAAATTGAAGAATTCATCAGTGGTCTACAAGATAAAGAAACTGAAAAATAATAGTTCCAGATTAAAAGAATCATAAAAAGTTTTAATCTACTAACACTAGTGACCCTAATTTAACAAAACAAATGTAAGAAAGATTAATAAAAATTAGTTAAAATACAATAAGTAGAAGCTTTGAGTTTCATAGCATGTTCTATTTCCTTATATCATATGTTTCTTTCTCCCTCTAAAAAAAGTGATTTCTCTATCATCTACTGTTTATTTTATGATTGTATATAAAAATATAGTATCACATTTAAACAAGAAAGCATTCTGAATGGTGATGAAATCCTGTAGGAAAAAACATTGCAAGCTATACTTCGGATATCAAATGATGCCTGTTGGCATTCTAAATTAAAAATGTCTCTCACGCTTTTAAGTTTCTTTAAACCCTGCATATGCACACCCCCTTCCACTGAGCACTACCTAAGAGGAATCTAATTCACGTTAATGCTGCCTCAGCAGCATCTCTGCACCTTAAATCTCTGTTCCCGGTGTTTTCTGCTTATATAATGCGGAAATCTTAAAATCAGTGTCGGTTATCAACATGTAATATTACTACAAAAATTCACCTTGCAATACCAATAATTTTTTTAAGAACATAAAATAATACGCTAATTCAATTCTTCACATTCATTATTAAGTAGTTTGCTACCTTCTTCTAGATTTTATTTTAAAAATAGACTCTCATTGGATCATGTTGGCACTAGCATATAAAAATTTAAACCAACATCAGATAATAAAAAGCAAACTTCCACAATAGTGACTCCATCTGGCTTACAAAGAACTTACATGCCCTTACTCTAAACAGTAACACTTTTGAGGATCTCGGGTGACTGTTGCTGAAGTTACAAAATAAGAACATGTTCTCTGGTATTCTAAGAATATGTTTGCATTTTAAAATATTGACCTTGGATTTTGTTATTAATAGATGCCAATTTATTTATTGTCTGAAGATACTAAATATTGAGTACTGTTGGTTAAATGATAAAAAAAAGTGTTAAATAAGCTGAGGATTTAGAAGCAAAAGTAGAAAATCTGGGGATTAAAATTCTACAAACCTGGAAAAATATTTAGTTGTTACATGGACTAATAGAGAAAAAGAACTTTGGCCTGTTTGTCCATAGGGCTGGCATTGCATACAACAGATGTGATGTTGTGCAACTTTTCTTTACATCACATCAAACCATATTATAATCCAGCATGACAACCCCATACGCTGTTACAGTATTTTACATCTTAAAAATCAGTTTATATTATATTATTAAAGGTGGGAGATGGTTAAATTACAGAGAATCTCAATGGACAGCTGCTTACAAATGAACACAGTAACAAATAATTTCAAATATTTGACTGTTTCGGATTAGAATTGTAAATCAGTGAAAATTTTAACAGTTTAGTTTCTCAGACTATTGGCCTCTGTTTCAGCCTCGCTGCAACCTCATCTGCTAATACTGGAACTACCTACAACCGCCACTTCTGTCTAAAGCCTTCGTCTGTTTCTTACATTTGTTAGCCTGGTTCATGCCTCCTTCCCCCGCACCCCGCCTCCCCCTTACTGCCTGCACTGGGGATAAGCACTGATGAAAAGTGTAGAGAATGGCAATAGTGAGGGTAGTCTGAACACAAGCATTAAGATTGTTAAAGAGACAGACTTTAGATGGAATGTAGCTAAAGCAAGGAATAGGTGGAGGCCATAATAGTCTAGAAAACCCAGAAATCTGAAAGGAAGCCTTATCACCAAAGTCTTACTAAATGTCAATCATATGAACACCTTTGAAATTCCTTGCAAGATTCTGTTTATATAAGATACAAACATTTTTCTGGGAGAAGATCCTTAGTTTTCATTAGATTTTCAAAGGGATCTGTCTCCAAATATGATAAAGGACCATGCGATCTCAATGTCTCCATGCATTCTTGAATGAACTATGAAATACCTGTTAAATGATTTCTTCAAACAATTACAATGACGTGAATTTAACATCTATATCAATATTTCAAACAGAAAGGATATTCCATTTTTGTTTTTGTATCTTCAATATGGTATCAAGTACTGGATGAAGTGATAAATAACTTTGACATCAGCATCCTGAAGTTCCATGGTTTAATAAGCTATGTGTATGGTAAGGTTACAATATTGCTTGTTTTTATTTGTGTATGTATAATATTTAATTATATCTGAACAGCACTTCACAAATTTCAAAATGAATACATATTCATTCTCACTTTATTCTGAAATAATACGAAATATATGCAAAACTTGTATTATTTCTACATTTGAAGAAGAGGAAACTGAGTGGAGAAATTGGTTAAGGGTCACACAAAGTGACATTTGACCATGACTTTTGTTCTGTGTTCTTTCATCTGTATCACATAGATGTTTCTCAGTAATATACCATAATCTATATATATAAAAAGCCAGCACCCATAACACCGTAATGACCGAAATGACTGGTCGCTATGACGCCCACTGCGGCCAGCAAACTCAGCCCGATCAGGGGGTGGGGCCAGCGGGCAACCTTCCGGCCGCCCCCTCCCCCAGCTGGCCCCGTCCCCTATCCGGCCTGAAGCCCCTTCCCCTGGCTAACCCCAAAAAAAGGGGTGGGATCCGGGCAAGTCAATCCCCTTGAAGACTCAGTCCCAGACGGGCCTTGCCCTTGAGCGCCCCTTAAACCAAGAGGTTGCAGTTCTGCCCTTAAGCTAGCCTTCCCCCTGATGTCCCGTCTTACCCAAAGAAGGGGGCGTGCCGTATTCAGAAATGGTAATACAAGCGAGCTAATGTATCTGAGGGCTTTTCTCATAGCTTGACTAGCGCC